CAGAGATGTTCATTCCGTTGAGAGAGAATGGCATGTCAGGAATGAGACCGTTTCTCATAAACATTGTCTTCATGAGATTCAGCTGTAGTCTGACCTTTCCACACTCACGGTCGAAGTCGGCCAGCATTTATGCTACTTGACTAATGTTTGGTGTTATTAGAACGATGTCATTAGCGAAGCAGAGGCAGTGTAGTTGCCGACCGTCTATCTTCACTCCCATTCCTTCCCATTCCAGTCGTTGCATGACGTTCTTGAGGGTGGCACTAAAGAGTTTCGGTGAAATGGTATCACCCTGCTGAACACCTCTTTTGACATAGATGATCAGTTCCTTGTATAATGGTGAGATCCTGGTAGTGAATCTGCAATACAGCTCACGGAGGATCCTGATGTATTGACTTTAAATGCTCTGTTTGGCCAGGGCTTCAATGACCACTTCAGTCTCAACAGAATCAAAGACCTTCTTTAAATCAATGAACAGAGTGGCATCCTGAACTCCCAAGAAACCTCAATGAGTTTGGTTATCGTGTGGATATGGTCAATAGTGCTGAATCCTTTTCGAAACCCGGCTTGCTCGCATGGTTGTCCTTCATCTAGTGTTCTGCCAATCCTATTCAGGATGACTCGAGTGAACAACTTGTAGATGACAGACAACAGGCAGATTGGGCGATAGTTGCTGATGTTGTGGATGTCTCCCTTCTTGTACAGTAGTGGTTTTTCATTGGGATGGAAACTTGCATTCAGACAGGTGGCATGTGAAGAGTCAAGCCAGTGTATTGAGTACTGATGATAGGTTCTTCAGGTGTTCAGGTCTGACCTTGTCTGGGCCAGGTGCTGTTCACTCCTTTACCGACGAAATGACGTGTCAGATATCGGAAGGGAAAACTTTGGGAATGACATATCCATCCTGCAGAATTTGGTATGTGGGCAGATGGGCGTGGCTATAGAAGAGATCTGAGTGGAAGTCATGGACGATCTTTTCCCATTGCCCTTCTGGAAGATGTGATAGATCCATCAGGACATCGGAGGGCAGTCATCTTGGTCTTATAGTTGGCGAAGGACAGGCGGGTGTTGCGAATGCTTTTCCCGGCTTCTGCCTCATCATTCAGCACTTCTGCTCTTCTCTCTGAAGCCATCCTTTATCGCTTCTCTACACTGCTTTGCGAGCTCGGACGTTCACTTCTGGTTGCCTGAGGCTCCTGCCCAGCCATTTTTGTGAATGAGCTCGAAAGTTTTTGGAGACAGGCATCTTTTTGTGCCTTTCTCTCTCTCAGAGTTCCTCGCACAATCATGGAGGTGATGAGCCAGTTGATCGTATTCTTCGTCAATGTTGTCAACGATGGCCTCTTCCCATGTTCCCACAATAGTGCCAAAGAGCTCCCAGTTGGTGGCATTCTGGGAGTTTTCTTCTTAAACTTTGCAGCCCTTTCTCCATGCTCCATGAAGTAGAATTTTGCATGAAGGAGACGGTGGTCCCATCCCGTTTGGAATTTTGGGACAAACAGTGATATTAGTCATGCAAAACCATCAATTGAATATGATGTGGTCAATTTCGTTGTGGAACTGTCCACCGGGAGACTCCCATGTCCAATGTTTAGATTCGGTCTTCTGGAACTGTGAGTTACCTTGGATGGTCTTGGTCAACATGATGAACTCAGGTAGTCTCTCACCCTGTTCTCACCTCCACTACCCAGCCGCCACCACGCTCCAGGATGCTTTCTGGACACTCAGGCCGAGACTCACGCATGAGTGAAGCCCCACAGAACCAGGGAAGCAGAACTCTGTGACCTTGGACTCCAGGCTCAACGAGACCTGGGAATAGAGATCCTCTGCCTGCTCCCACCAATCTCCGGTGACCCAGGGATTAAACCCAGAAGCCCCACCCTACCCTGCCCTGACTGCTTCCACCAATCTCTGGTGACCCAGAAATTACACACAGAATACCCACCCTACCAGTCCAGGTAAATACCTCATCAACAGACCTTCACTACCTCCACTACCTAGTTGCCACCATGCTCCAGGACGCTTACTAATACCCAGAGCACCCAGGAACTCTGTGGTTGCCAATGGTATTTCAACCCAAATCCCAAATGGTCAGAGGTATTAATGAATTTGAGTTATACTCTCAGCACACTACATTTAAGTGAAAGGAACTGAGTGGCAGAGACATGACTTTCATCTAAGTGTCAGGTTCTCAGACTGACAGTTTGTCTCTATATGAGGTAAGAAATTTCTGGGTGTGCTCTGGTGAGTTTCCTTAGGTTCTAGAAAGATAGGCTATATTGTAATAAAATGGAATGCAAATAAAAGCAATTTTGAGAGCATAAAAAATAAAAATAAAAACACAAAACACATAACGTTAGTGGATTAGAAGTAAGTGGTTTGGGTTAATGCTTATGGCTCAGGGTTTCACACAAGCTTTCACTCAAGATATCAGATGGGTTTGCATAGGTCTAAACACATGACTGGGATTGAAGGGCCTATTTTAAAGTGGTGAAGGGGGTTCCCAGAACGAGAGTAAAATGGGTAGGGTAGCCTTGCATGTGATTCACTTGGTTTGATCTGCAGCACCCCATGTTGTCCATCAAATCCTCTAGGAGTGATCCCTGAGCACAGAGTCAGGAGTAAATGCTGAGCACTGCTGGGTGTGGCCCCCAAACAAAAACAAAGAAAGGGGGTGAAGACAAGTAAGTGTGGTTGTTGTCAGATGGCCTCCCTTCCTTATGTCTTCATAGCATGATAATTAGCTTCCTCGGGGTTATTTAAGAGAAGACATTGGCTGAAGCCCAAATGCCTATTGTGATCTGACTTCATTCAATTTTTATAATGTCTTAGTTGTATAGGGCAGTCCTATTCAGTATTGAAGGGCACGACACATGGCTATGAATATAGCAGTTAAGAATCTTTGGAGGAACTCTAGAGTGGCTCATTGGGGTGGGTGCATGCCTTGCATGAAGGAAACCTGAGTTTGGTCCTTTGTACTGCATGGTCCCAAGCACTATTAGGGAATATCCCCCCTTCCCTCTGCCCCATATCCAGCACAGAGATAGGAGTAATTCCCGAGTACCACTGGGTGTGGCCCCCAAACCAAAACAAACAAAAAGACATATTTTATCTTATTTATTTAAAGATTCATATTTAAAAAAAATCAATGGAGATCCTCTTAAAAGACAGCACTTAAATTCCATGTTTTAACTCTACAATTTTATTCTGTGTACATTAAGGATTCACAGTGTGCAGAAATATTGTTCTCCTTTAGCTTCAACATGGTTGGAGTATTATTATTATTATTATTTTTATTATCTTATTATGTCATCTTATTATCTCATTACTACTTTGGACAAACTGGCAGGCTACTGAATGTAGCCTGTCCACACGGCAGAGTCTGGCAAACTCCCCGTGCGTACCCAATATGCCAAATACCAGTAACAATGATGGGTCTCATTCTCCTAAAGAGCCTTGAATATAATCTCAGGGCTAGGATGAAGGAGACGTTACTGGGGCCTGCTCGAGGCAATACACGAATAACAGGATGATTTGTGATTATTATTATTATTTTTCTCACGCTCTCCAAAAATTCCAGCTAGTCAAGTTTGGTTGTGAGCAGGAGACAATGTTAATCAGTTTAACAATAACTCACATCCTTTGGACCAACTGGTTGGAGTATTATTTTGTGTTTGCTTTCTGTTGTTAAAACAGTAACCCCTATTCCCAGCGTGGACCTAAAGTAGTCAGTGTTTTAGTTCATAATTCCAAAAAGATGAAAGAAATATGAGTGTTTAAAAAGTTATTGAAGGGAACAAATTTGATTAGAATACTTTCTTAAATGTCATTTAGCTAGGTAAAATACTCTAAATGTTTTAGAAACTATCTCTAAACTACTGATTCTATTATCTACATAGAACAAGTGCTTAATGTGTAATTAATAAGTGGGCTGAATAATTCATTGATAATAACTATAATAGAATTAAAAAAACATGGATTAGAGGCAAAAGTAAGAGATGGGAAAATCTGGCGCCTTCTAAATTTGGCTACCTTCTGTGGTTTTAAACGAGTTCTTAAATCCCCCCAACCATGATTTCCTTGCTTGTGAAAAGATGAAGTTTGGATTGGAATTGGAGAATCTATATGCTATCTTTAATTGTCTCTGAAGTTACACAGGAAATCACATATATACAATAAATTTCTATTTTTCCTATCTACATCTTCCACTCTTTTTTGTTTTGGGGCCATCTCTAGCATGTTCAGGGCTCACTTAAGGCTCTATGCTCAGGGATCACTCTTGCAGCACCCCATGCAAACGGTGAGGGGGGGATCAATCAGGAGGGTTGTGTGCAACGTGAGCACCTGTGGTATTTTCTCTTCAGACCGGTTTAACTCTGATATGGAACATAATTAAAGCAAACGAATAGGAAGCAAAAATCCGATAAAATGAACACGGGGAAATCTGGAGGTTACCAGAGGGAGAAGCAAAAGCAATGAATAAAGGGGTCTTTTCTGGGAGTGAGGGTTAGGTGAAGGGGCGGTGCTCAGGTCTTACTCCTAGCTCTGTGCTAAAGGATTACTCCTGGAAGAGCTCGGATGGCCATGTGTAGTGTCTGGGAGGAAATTGGGGTCGGCTGCGTGCAGGGCGAGTGCTCTACTCGATGTACTAGCTCTCGGGCCCCTAGAGGGAGGGATGGCTTGGAAACTTTGACGGCGAGTGTAGGCGAGTCCTATACAGTCTCTTTTGTTTGCTTTTGGGCCAAACCCAGCGGTGCTCAGGGTTTACTCCTGGTTCTTGCGCTCAGGGATCACTCTTAGAGGCTTCTCATTGGCAGCCCCGTTGGATTCCCGGGGAAATCTGGATTCCCAGGGAGAACTTGCTCTTTCTTATCCCACCTCGGAAACAGGGTCCGATCCAGGAGTGATCCCAGCTTTCCCGGTCCCCAGGCTCCCGCCTCCCGGTATACCCCGCTACTCGGGGCTCTTCATGGGGGCGGGGGGGAATCGATAAATCCCACCCTCCCAGGATGGCAGCCTCCTTCACCGTAGGCTCTGGCTGATTTGGCTTTAGCCGGGCAAGTTTAGTAACAGGATCTCGAAGAGGTCCAGGTGGCGTGATCGCTGCAAAACTCTTCCTTTCGAGCGCTTTCGCTGGGCCACTCTTCATAGTTAAGAACGAAGGATACCCGCGTCCCCTCACTGTTCCTTCACCGAAGCCACCCTCCCGCTCCTGAACCTCCTGAACCTAACGACCCTTTTGCAAAATAGCTTTAGCTTATTGGATCAGGTTCGCGTTTCGGCGAATTGCCGGCGCAAACGAGTTCGCTTTTGAATTCCCGGGTTGCAGGGAACTGGAGCAGAAGGGCGAGTGGGGCTCCGAGGGCGGATCGACTCGTTAAACGTAGTCATTCCTTCGGGGCTAGTCAGGGTTGATAGGGATCTCTTCCAAGCTTTCTCCGGGAGTTTTTCCTCCCCCGGGCGCCTCCCTGAGGCCGAAGGAGCGGGATGACCTTTCGGATGGAGGAGGAAGAGATTGCACACAAGTCCCCGGGAGCGATGCACCGTCGGAGTCCAGCCCGGGCGCCCCGCACCTCGGTGGTACCTGAAGTCGGGGACTGGGAGGTGCTCAAAGGTGCCCAGGGCTTCCGTCGGGGCCGCGGGGAGTTCTGGCGCTCGATCGAGGGCTCCCAACGCCGTGACTCGTGCCCCGAGGTGAAAGAGTCACCTCCTCGGGGTGGCCAGAGGTTCCCAGCTGCAGGCGCGCGGTCCCGCCCCCGAGGGCGCGGCGCCCACGCCCAGCGCCTCGCAGCCCGCACGCCCCGGCGCAGTGCAGCAGAGCGCGCTCCCGCGCGGGGCCGAGCCGGGCCGCGCGCGCACGCGTAAGTGAGTGCGTGCGTGCGTGCGTGCGTGCGTGCGCGGGGAGGGGGGCGGCGGCGGCGGCGGGGCCCGCTCGGGCGGAGGGGGTGGGGGGGCGGGAGAGCCGAGGAGGCGGCGAGAGCGGCCGCGTAGCCGCTGGCGGCGGGGCGGGCGCTCGCCCTCCGCCTCGCCCGAGCCCCGCGAGGGTGAAACGCTTTCTCCCGGCATGCACCGGGAGGAGGGATTTAACACCAAGATGGCGGACGGCCCGGATGAGTACGAGAGCGAAGCGGGCTGTGTGCCCCTTCTCCATCCCGAGGTGAGCGGCGGGGCGCTGAGCGCACCCGCAACCCCGCAGCGCGCCGGGCCCCGGCCCTTCCTGCCGCCGCCCGGCGGACGCGCGCTCGCCGCCGCGCGAGTGTCTGTGTGTGTGTGTGCGCGCGTCTGTATGTGTGTGTGTGTGTCTGTGTGTGCGCGGGAGAGCGGATCGTGCCCGAAGTTGGCGAGAGGCAGAGCCAGGCCCGAGCGCGGATAACGGGGGAGGAGATAGCGGGGCGGGCCCGGCCGGGGCGGGCTCTGGGACGCAGTCCCGCCCGGTGCCTGCAGGACAAGCGCCGAGGAGGTGTCGGGTGCTTGGGCTGGGTCGCCGCTCCCGGCGCCGCCTTGGAAGCGTCGCCCAAGCCCCCTGGTGCTGCTTCCGAGCCTCTCGGGGGCCGCGGGTGGGGGCGGGGGGGGGGAAGCGCGTCTGCCGTCGAGGTCTTTTTTTTTTTTTATCTTCGCCCGGGTGAATAATGACGCTGCCGGTGTGTTTTCCTTTGGAGCCCACCGTGAGGTGGTGTCGGGGAGGGACACAGTTTCCGGGACAAAGTGAGGTCTTCGGGTCACCGCGGTGGTGGCATTGGTGTTGGGATCTTGGATCCCGGGCACGAATGCAGCAGGAACAACTTTGCATACCCAGGTGTTCCAATAAAGTGGTGGTGGTGGGAAATAAAATAATGCAGTAAGACCCAAGTGAGGTCCTCCTAGCTTTGTGCTGCCCTAAGGCAGCACCTCGGTGTCCTTTATTTGCAGTGTTTGTCCTTAAGCGATTCCGAAGAGAGGTCAAAACTTTGGAGCTCTCGGTTGCCTGTCCAAGTGAATCGTTACAGGTTTTTTTTTTTTTGGTTTGTTTGTTTTTTGTTTGCTTTTTGTTTTGTTTTGGAGCCCGGGGAAAGACAGTGCAACACGTTTTCCCATCACAACATGAGTATCTTTCCATGCAAGTCCACAGTGCCCGGCTCCAGCATGGGCACCGCCTGTGCTTGTTTACCTCCGAGTTTATTGCTGCTTCAGGCCTGGAGGCAGTGCTCGATGCGTTTGAGTTTTTTAACGATCTGCAGTGATTTGTCGATGGGGTGGCTGCAGGAGCTACTCGAAGAAGCGGTGCTTTTAGGAGGGGGATAAAAGGGGTGGAGACAGTGGGTTTGTTTGTTGTAGGGGCCCTGAGTCTTGGAAGTCTCAACCTGGTTACTTTGCATTAGAATGAGTCTGGAATTTGGTTTGTTCATTTGCTGGTGTTATTTACAAAAATGTGAATAAGGCAGTCACTCGTTTTTCTGTATTACCACTCAACCATCCTCTCATTCATCACCTTGATTTATTAAGAAAACAAAACACGTGTACACAGTCCCATAGGGATGTGCATAGTCCAACCTCTGTTGATAGAGAAGCCTTCTACTTTGGGTTTCTGAGAAGCAAAATAGGGCAGTAAGTTCAAACTTTTATTTTTCTCTGCTAAGCGGTAACATTTTCAGAACTGGTGTTGCAGACATTTCTCTCTTGATTTACACATCATAGGCCCCAAAAGTATATCAAGAAATAGACACGTAGTTTTCAGTTGATGCATTGAAAATAAAATATTACTAAGGGATATTTCAGTTCCTCTGTTACCATGATAGCATTTCAGATACTTAAATTTTTATCCTATAGATTTTCATATATACTGTCCATAAATCTTTGCACTGTAAAGGAGTGCATTGTTTACATCTTTAACACTAATGTTAAACATGCCAAATCTGGATATGGCTTGGTGCAGTTTATGGGGTTGAAGTTTGGATTGCCATCTAATAGAACATTACCAGGAAGTCGATTTCTTTCTCATTGGAAGTGAAAGTTGATATATATATATTCTACCTTCCGTTCCTTTTTATCTAACGCAAGGTTTGATTAGTTTATATGCTCTGAGTCATCAAAGGTAAGCCTCTGAGTAACCTGCATCAAGGCCCTACTTTCCATATCATTTTTTTTTGTACTTAAAACTGATGCAGGCATAATGAGAATTCTTTTAATTTATTGGCATTTGCATTCTTGGGGTTAGCTGCTTTGTAGATTCATCCTTAATTTAGTATTAATTTAATATTAATAACTAAATATGCTGTGTGGGGATTGAGATAACTATTCTTTTGTTGTTAAAGCAAGCCGCGTTTTTAGTTGCAAAAAAGTCAAGTGCCCTACTGCTGTTCCAAACCCTAAGGGTACTGTCACACCTTTTTTGAATAGACTGTGGGCTTTGGTCAAAGACTTGTGCTCCATTTCTGGATTTGCAGTCATTATCCAAGTGACCTCAGAGAACCATTTAATATGTGCCTAAGGGTACTGTCTTAAATGTGCGCCTGAGGCACATCTAGGATGCTCAGTCATACTATTTCTTCTCAACTATTTGTTGACTTTTACTTTGATTTAAATTTAGAAACTAGAATGGGTTTTAATTTAGTGGAATGAATCCACCCACCCTCCCTCCCTCCCTCGCTCCCTCTTTTCCTCCCTTCCTCCTTTTTCCCTCCCTTCCTTCCTTCCTTCCTTCCTTCCTTCCTTCCTTCCTTCCTTCCTTCCTTCCTTCCTTCCTTCCTTCCTGTTTTTTTGGGCGGCTACACCCAGCGGTGCTGAGGGCTTACTCTTAGCTCTGTGCTCAGGAATCACTCCTGGCAGTGCCAATGATTGAACTAGAGTCAGCTATGTGGAAGGCAAGCTCCCAAACCCCTGTAATCTCTCCAGCCCTTATTTTACTTTTATTTCATAGTTAGCATTTTGTTAACGAAATAGTTTCTCACAAAGTATTTGTTGAATACATGAGTTATTTGTAGGATAAAGAAACTATCTATTAGTTAAATATTCTGTTAGTATGCAGACTGCTCAGATTAACCCCTTCTTAGGGTATTATGTAATTTGATGGACAGTGAACCCTTGCTTTTAGAGATATTTGCAGTGGGAAGCTATTTCTAAGTAAGTAAATCTATTTTTGTCATATAAACATTTGTTGGTCCTCTTTGGGTCAGCCTTTGTACTGGGTCCTTAAGACAGATTTTTTGCGGTAAATGTAATATAAGGAGCCAACACTCTAATGACCCACCAAGAATCTGGGCTCTGTCTCTCACAGTTGTCCTGGTCAGATTACTTTAATTCATTGTTAAATCTGGTGAATAGTGCTTTCCTCTTTGAGAGAATAAGGTTTCTTAGGCACTCATCATGGATTTTGGCATGCAGTCTGCAAGGCAGATCTGACCCTCTAAAGGCCTTGGTTTCTATAGACTGCCCAGGATTTACAGTGTTTCACCTTAAGATTTTTTATTTTATGATGGCATGAACACTGCAGAACCTGGCAAGCTCCTGGTGACATATTCGATATGCCAAAAACAGTAACAACAAGTTTCACAGTGGAGATGTTACTGGTGCCCGCTCGAGCAACTCGATGAACAAACGGGAGGACAGGGCTACAGTGCTACAGTGATGCTATGAAAGCAGGAGGCATTCAGTAGAGACCATACTTAGTGTTTGAAGTTTTGATCTTTTCTCAGGCTAGTGATAACTATAGGATTCTCGCATCTTTCTGTATTCCTTTGAGTTTGATTCCTTCTTTCACTTTCCATTTTTCACTGGGGCCAAACCCACGTCTGTCCTCTGGATTTACTCCTGGGTCTATGCTCAGGGATTAATCCTGGCAGGACTCAGGATTTGAGGTGCTGAGGACTGAGCCAGAGCTGGCTGCTTGCAAGGCAAGGACCCTACTTTATGTATGATTTTTCCAGGCCTTTCCCCTCCCCCCCTTTTAAGAGTTTTTAAACTTCTACTTTTTTTAGAGGTTTTTTGTGCGAATAGATTTTTTAAAAGATGTGTACATTTGTAAGAGGAGTGTTTATTGAGCATCTGCGTATGGATGTTGACGCTTGGTTAGTCATAAAATCATTACGTACAGAATAATGCATTATACAGTGACAAAGGTTACTGTAACCTTTTGATTTCTCAGGATGTGTTGAATGGGTTTATTATTTTCTTTTCTTAGGACATATGCTAGGGTGTGTTAAGGTAATTAGGTTGGTTAGTCAGATTTTAGTTTTTTTTTTTTAAATTCAATCCCTAACAGCCATATAATCCATAGAGATATTATTTCAAGTAGCAAAATTATGTGGAGTTCTCCCTTGAAGCATTATCTGTACCCTAATATTTTAATCAGATATAATTACAGACAGATAATCCAAGAAGAAACTATCAAATAATTTGACTTTACCTGTAAAGGCCAAGTACTGAATATTTTTAAATTTGTGGATCATATAGTCTTCTAGTAACTTCCTATTTCTGGCTTATTTTTTCATTTATTTTATGTAGGAGTATTGTTATTTATTCAGCCGTTGATTAGGTTGATTGAATTGGGCATGAAGTCCACCGTACTTTTTTTCTTTTTTATAAATGTATTAATTGAATCCCTGCGAGAGCAGTTACAAAACTTTTGGGTTTAAGTCTCGGTCATACAATGATGAAACACCCGTCCCTTCACCAGTGCCCCTTCTCCACCACCAAAACCCCCAGTATACCCCCATCCCACACCCTCCCCCTACCGTGGGGTAGATGATTTCCACATTACTCTCTCTCTACTTTGATTACATTCAAAATTTTGACACTAGACCCACCATTATTATTTGGGATTTTACCCTAATACTCAGATCTGCTGAAAAGAAAACTGTAGACAATTTGTTTTCTATTGTTGGTCATGAATAACATATGATGTCGCACGGCCATAGCAGTGGCTGTGCGCCATATTAGAGTTCTAAAATTTTGACAATTAAATCTGGAGGGATTTCTGCCAAAACCTGTTGGGTTCCTAGATTTGTTCCTGAGTTTCTTGGATCATGACTGTTAAGCAGTTTGATCAGGAGCCAGAGAAGCCATTCGTGGGTGGTGACTTGGTCTTATTGGCATGGGGAGGGAAGGGCTGGCTCCACCCCCATCCCATGAGCCCTCCCCCCCCCCCCGCCCCCATGTGTTTCATCATTGTGGGCCCAAACC